GAGGAGCATCAGGAAAGCATCACTGCCTCCCTCCCAGCAGCAAAATGTTCATTGGCCCTCTCCTCAGTGACACCGCCCTCATTAAGTCCAACATTCTCCAGGTCCACAACTGTTCATTAAAGTCTCTTCTGAAATGTCCAGTCGAAAGGTCTCACCACTTTTCTTTGTAAATTTTTCTATTTTATTATGAAACACACTCGAATCATCCGACACAGAACACAAGGAAAAAAAGCTAGTTGTCTACACAGGCGCGTCATGTAGATCAGACACTGCACATGCCACATGACATGGTTGCTGTCATGTCTGCATGAATTTTAAAAAATTAGGTCTTCAAAAAATATAGATGTTAACAGCCTCTCAGAGTTTTTCTTTTAAATTTCTGTCATTGAGTGTTTTTGAATAGTGTTGACATGGTGAGAAGAAGCCATTTTTTTTTAAAACAAAGAAAAAAAAAGAAAAAAAAAAGAAAATAACAGCGTAGTCTCCCACAAGTTGAACTTCTCAGCACCCTCTCTTTCATATCTATTTTCTCTATTTAGTTAAAAAAAAACATTCGGTTGCAGAACGGTTGCAAAACATTAACAAAAAAAAAAAAAATAAGGTGATCGAATGTTCGATCCATAATACAATCTCTCCCAGGTGAAGAATTTTTTTTCTGTTTGTGCAGAAGGACTTTTCTGATTCAGTTTCCTCCGAATCATCCACAGAACATTCACTTCCCAAAGTACACCTCATCAAACCCTCTGATGGCCGAGACGTCTAACTGTTGTCTGATTCATCATCTGCATCACGAAGCCACGTGAAGAAGGTGGTGAGAGACTTGAGGGCCACGCCCTTGCCCTGCTGCTCCGCTGGGTCTTTGCACACCTCCCACTTGTAGAAGGCCTCCTCTTTGACCACGTCCTCATCATAGAGGGCGTCAAAGAACATGCGCAGCAGGTCTGAAAGACGGGTGGGGGCGAGGGGACAGGAAATGTTTACATTGTGTTCCAAAACCATCTCTAGCAATATTCATTGTCATGGTGTGTAACAAAAAGTAAAAAAAAAAAAAAGAAATACCAAAGAACTTACATGGAGGTTGATCCAGCTGAACCATCAAGGCCTGCAGGGCGTAGAGACCCTGCAGCTCCTTCTGCTCGTCATTCAGGTATTTCTGCAGCACCTTAGCCCTAATTCTTATTTGGTGAGCATGCAACTCGTACGGGTTCTCACCTGTAGGGTAAAAAATCATGTAAGGAGTAATTTCACTTGATAGAAAATTTACTTACTTTTTAAATTATCGACCGTGTGCCGACTTACGGATAATGGCTGACTTGCAGATGCAGGTAATTAGAGCTCGGATGAAGACATTTCCCGTGGTCTGCTGCTCATCCAGGTTTGCCTAAATAGATGCAAATAGATCACTATTAGCAAACAATAGAAGACTACAGTGAAAAGAGCAGTCTGATACTCCAAGATTCAGACCAACCTCAATCCAGTCAAAGATTCTCCGGTTGCTGGCCTTGTCCTGGAGCAGTTTATCCAGTTGTTGGGTGATCTCTGCTGAGCTCAGCTCCTCCTTTCTGCCCATCTCTGACTCTTCACCCAGTGTAAACTCAACATTCTACAGAGAAAAAAGGGCAGATTTTCATCATTTATGCTGTCAATACATTTTTTGCTTCATAGACTGGAGCATTTTATAAATTGTGTATTTTGGGAGTTCACCAGTGAATTCCTTTTATAAATAATGTAAGTGAAGTATAGACCTCCTGTGGATTTTGTCAAAAAACAAAAATGACTCCTCAATAATGAGTGACCTCTTACCTTTTCTGTCACAAACTTGTTGACGTCTACATCTTCAGGCAGGAAGTCACTCCACCTCAGACCTGCATCCCTCCACATAGTTCCTGCCTTTTTATGGCTCTGATGGGAAGCATATTTTAGACCCACATGTATCATTGTTGTTCATTTCATTCAAACTTCCTTATGTATGATAGTAATTTGAGGCTGGCTACAATAAAAGGTCAGTCCTCACCATTCCTTTGCAGAGTAAATTGAGAATCTGGACCAACAGGACTCCAGCTTTTCCCAAAGGAACCAATGGTTTTGACACCTCTCTGATGAGCAAACAGAAGCCAATTACCAACTAGAACAGTATCTCAGCAAAGAAGTAAAGGCTGTCACTAAACCACGCAGACATAAACGGTGTGTGTCAGACACTCACCTGAACAGCTCTCCCATGGGAATTCCACCTTCATGAAGCATAGGTGTGAGCAGCTCAGCCAGGTAGAGCCAGATCAGGGGGATGTCTATGGCCATGTCTTCAGCCATTTCTAAGATCTCATGAAGCCTGGACAAATCAGAGAACGACATGTGATGTTATTTTAGGTAAAATATATATTTTTAGCTGACTACACAATTACCAAATGGACTGTGAGGGACTGTACACTGATTAATATCACTGAGGAAAGAGGCCTGGCAGATTAATGGACATGTATGTATGTATGTATGTATGTATGTGAATGTGAGCGTGGATTGATGGTGATTGTTTGACAAACATTTTTTCATTTCTGATGCTGCGTACTGACCCTTTATAGTACTGCTGTATTGGGAGGATGCTCGTCTTCACCAGCTGGTGGAGCAGCAGCCCCATGTGCTCCCTGGCAATGGTGCTTCGCTCCAATGTCGATTCCACCCCATTTCGTACGAACACGAAAAGCAGAGTGCTGTTTATCTCTCGCACGCACTGTAGCGCCTCCTGTTGGGGCAGGGGGTATGTCAGCAGTGAGGCACAAGTAATCATTGCATGCACTCCAGCAGTGGTCCTCAAACTTTTTCTACTCTGTATCACCTGAGAAAACCTTGATCTCTCTGAGTACCACCATGATGACCAACATTAGAATACAGCAGCAGAGGTCTTCACTGTTAGCTTCCACCACAGGAGAGAGGTTTATAAATGTTTATGAAGATGTTTATGTTTAAATGTTGTATTAATTGTGCATGGTATGTTTCAGATTTATTCAATTGAAAATGTAAATGTGAAAATGTGAATTTTCCCGTGTACCACTAGAGAGCACGTACCACAGTTTGAGAACCACTGTACTACAGTGTTTAAGACGGTTGTTGGACATTATGCTATAAGTTGCATGACTAAATACTAACCGACATGTCGTTGATATGGAGGTACTCCTCCAAAATGGCTATGGTCTTCTTCTCCACCTCTTCCTCGGTCATGGCTGGCTTGCTGGGAGTCTGTGGAGGTGGGGGGGTGGCAGAGGTCTCCCGCTTCACTGCTCATGCAGACACACAAGATGCGGAAAGGATTATTCAAAGATGAGCACACTATGATCAGTGGTTTTTACACTAATCCTCCTGCTGAGGTTTGGAGAGTGGCGTTAAGTGGATTTGAAACCAGATCCTAAATTGTTAAATAGGTTTCACAGCACCACCCACCATTCTCTTTGCTCTGGGCTCTGTCTCTATTGCTCCGGTCTCTGTCATCTGTCATACTGGCCACTCGGCGGACGGGATCGGCTGACCCACGATTTTCTCTCTCGCGGCTTCGCTCCTGGTTCTCCCGGCTGAAGCTACGCTTGGTGAGCTGGAGCCTGTTCCTGTCGCGGTCGTCCCGCCGGTCATCTCTGCGGTCGAATCGGTCACCGCTGCGGTCAAATCGGTCACTGCGCTCTCGACTGGAGCTGTTTCTGTAGACAACAATATATGTATATATATTTAGTATTTAGGAAACACACACACACTACAGGAACAATACTGGGCTTCATGTTTTGTTAGGAGTGAATGTGTGTCAGCAGTGTCTCCGTTCTTCACCTCTGAGGAACTCGTCTGTCTGAGTCTGTTGAAGAGCCTGAAGACAAAGGCTGCTGCAGGGCTTGGAACCTGTTGAGAGTGCTGGTGGCGGGACGGCCGCCTACCTCTGAGCCTAGAGGTGAATTAAAGGCTGAGTTTAGCTCTTAAATAATCATTATTTTTAAATAAATATCAATTGCTTTTTAGGTAACCTACTGGAATCTGCAGGTTTGGCACTGGTTCCACCACTGCTGCCTTTTCCCCAGCTGCCCCATGAACCTTTACCTCCTGGGGCAAGCAACTGATTGTTTAAGTCAAGTACTGGAGCCTGAAAGAGGAGGAAAAAAATGGTTTAAGAAACACAAACAGGGAACGACAAACTTCACCCGTGTCTCTACTCTGCTCCTAGTGGCCATATCTTACCTTTGTAATTTTTGTAAGGCGGGAGTTATCGATAGGTCTGCTTTTGGAAATTGTCACCGTGCTCCAGCCATCGTTTTGAGGAGGAGCACCACGGCCTTGAGAGTGAGGACCACCACGTCCGCCCGGTCCTCCACCGCCCATCCTGCCCCCTGGGCCTCCGCCATACTCCTTTTTGGAGATGAGAGCCTGCTGCACTTTCATCTGCTCCCTGTGCTCCTCCAGTTCAGCCTCTTTGTGGATCTGGTCTATGGTCTTGGGGCCCTGGTCTCCACGCCGTGGTACCCAGTTTAGTATTTAGGAACAAGAAAAATGTGTTAATAAAGACATACTTTTTTTTTATTTAGACATATACTGTGCTGGATAGTGACTTAACAAAGGGGAGAGAAAGAGAGGGAGACTAAGAGGGAGGAAGAAAGCCTTTTTTAGCATGAGTGCTGAAAGACAAAAACACAGGATGCAATACTGTGTGTTTTACAGTTAAATTGGGCGAGTATGCTGACTTGGAGCTGCTGATTTTTGGCATGTTTAAAAACACTAAAGACAGCAGGTTTTGTAACATCGTTTCATGTCTGTTTTAATCCCTGGCCAATTTAGTGAACCAAGTGTTGGTATAACAACACTTAACTGTCACGGGACAAAAAAAACACCCTGAACTTGGACAGAGGAAATTTTAACATGGACTGCATATAATCAGCAGCTGCAAATAAGTTTTAGACGATACTGAAAAGGTGGGTTGATTTTCAAATGTCACCAGAACTAACTGTGGTAACGCAGTGGAAGTGGAAGAAGATGCCTGTTGTCTCAGCGTATGGCACAGAGCCGCTCTGTATTATAGGAGCTGCCCTGCATTAAAGAGCTGAGGTAGACATTTCTCTCTTAGCCCATGTAAGAGCCACACAGGCCAAAGCTTTAGGGCCAGTGTGGTTGTCTCTGGGGCTGTAGTAACATCCATCTAAAGTTTCTGGCTACACACAAACACACACACGACTACGAAAGATGATGAAAGAAAAGATACATTTTGATATACCACTGTAGATGATGTAGAAACTAGACTAATATAAATTATTATTACAAAAAACTAACATTTTCATAATCAATTACAGTGGATAAAAAATGTTCAGAATCTCAAAATGAATATTAAATGCTATTAATGTCCAAAATAAGTCAAAAATTAGTTGATGATGACAATAACGACAGAGATGACACATGCAAACAGACTCTTGGTGTCTTTTTGTACAGCAAAGCATCAAGCAAACTTGGCTAAATTTACTGTATGTGGTTTGGAAAATTTCCATAATTGACGAAAACAAAATATGTAAAGTAATGTCCTTTGGTATGATATGACAGTGAAAATACAAGAGATGGTTTGTGTTGAGTCTTTACCTGTCGAAGGTCCAGCACATCCTGCAGCATGAAGCGAATTCTAGAAGTTGTCTTCCTCTCTTTGATTATTTTGTCCATTTGATTGAAATACTGGTCCATACGAGGCTGAAGATAAAGATGAAAGTGGGGTCGGTGAGTTTGAATCAAATGAGTACTGGGCTCTGCTGGTGTAAAACACTACATACCTTGGCCTTCTCAAAGTCCAGGTCCTTGCCGATGGTGGACAACAGTCTACACAGGCACTCCAGGGACTCATCATCGTGGTTTTTGAGCAGCTTTACAATACAGTCATGCATGATGACCTCTGTGAGCATTTTCAGTTTAAAGAGCTCGCCGATAAACTTGATGTTGCCCATCGAGCGCCTCCTGGCTTTGTCTTTAGTTTCTACCAGCTCCTCAACAAGACGTTGCTTCTCCTCCTGTTGGTAACACGTATAAAACAAAAGGTTGGTTTGAACTAAAAAAAAAGCACCATAAAAATCATGGCTTGTTTTATGTGCTTAAACAAATGAAATATATACCCTAAAGACTTACCTCAGAGGCTGCCTCCAGCTCTTTTTGTTTCTTCTCAAAGATTTCGTCATCGTCTTTGTCTTTTTCAAACTCCTTTTGGCATCGGTTTAGCAGCAACTTACGGAAGTTCATTCCTGGTTTATCTGGGGTTTGTACTTTAAGCTAAAATGAAAAGGAAAAAGGAAATTAACAAGGACCAGCGGGCAGAAGGATGTACACAGTGCGGTGCCGGTGGCTCCTCAGATCCTCAATCCCATCATTTGGATCAGTGGCCCAGACACGTGGCACAAAATTAAGGTCATCATTGGAGCCTTGCAGAGAGATAAGTTGCTGATACAGTGTTGAATTTAAATAGTAGCATCAGTGAGAAAATACCACACATTAAAAACTAAAATTGATGAGAATACCTTATATTAGAATATAATATAGAATATGTGACAACACAAACCCTTCACCCTATATATATATATATATATATTGTTTGTACAGTATATATGTACTACTGGTTAGTCTGTTGTGGTGGTTACTATGAAGACAAAACTAGTCTATAAGTTCATCATCATCAGCTGCCTCATGGCATCACTTACCCCCAAAAGGCAGCGGCACATGTTGGCATAGGCCACAGAGAAGTTTGGCTCGGAGATGGCCTTCTCAAAGGTGAGGTCGATGACACCTTTCAATCTCTCCTCCGTGTCAATGGTCAGTTCAGTCACCTGCTTCATCAGCTCTTGAAACTTTTGCGGGGTCAATTTGTTGAGGATGCTGCGAACACGTTTGAAGAGTTCCTGGGTCTTGGCCTGCTCGGTGTCAGATTCCTCATTCGTCTCTTCTGCAGCGCGCGTATGACTGACTTTCTTCGTAGAAGGTTTCCAAGCCTTCTCAGCCTTGTTGAGCTGCACGTCGTCGTTCATCGACATACTGGTGATGATTTTCCTTGGCTCTTTCCTCTGCATCTGCTGAGAGCGACGTGGGCCAGGGGCCTGCATTCCCAAACCTGGGGGCTGGAAAACGCATGGCAGGGGAGGAAAATGTGTCATTTCCACAGCTTCTCTTAAGGTTGAGTAAAAAAACTGAATTCTTCCATCAAAACAAGTGAATAATAAACTCACTGGTCCTCTAAGTAGTCCACCCATGCCAGGCCTGCCAAGATTGGCAAAAGAAGGCGTGAAATCAGGACCACAGTTCATTCCTGGTAGTCGGCTGGAGTCAGGTTGGCGAAGAGGCGTCTTATTGGCCTGGACATAAAACAGTAGGTCAAAATTTGTGAAAAAGACAAATACAGTGAAATCTATGTGAAATAATCTTGAATATTGATTTTGTTATGGCACTCAGAGCTTCAGTCATTGTTTCCATGCTGAGGTTTTACCTTGTCCAGGACGACGTCACTGATGGCTGGTAGGCCCTCAGGCTTATTCATGCTGGCTGAGATGAACTGGAAGCCGAGAAGAAATTCTCTGTCGTATTTCTTCTTTTCTTCAGGATTAATTGGCTTCCATTGTTCTGAAACATGAACAAAAATGTGCAAAATGGTTTAGAAACTTGGCATCGACCCAGAATAAAATAGAAAGAAATTGGAAATGGAGTGAAAACTGTAATACTAAGCTACTCCTTAAATGGTCTATCAGGTGGTAAAAAAAAACAAAAACATTGGGAAACTAATGAAAAGATGAACTGCTGGGAAACAGGAAAAAAAAACAAGGATTCAAATGTTTATTCCCCTGATGCTGTACTATAAAAATATAAATGCAAATCCATGTTTATTGTTGTGGTTGGTTAATTTTTTTTGTGGACCATTTCATAATATTACGAGCAGTGATGAGTAGTAGTCATATGGAAAGTAATTAAAAACCAATTGCACAAAAGGGGAAGCACAATGGGTCAGTTGTGAGGAGTCAAGGTTCAGACACACACCCTCTTTGTACTGGTACTTCTTGTCACCATTGGTCTGTGGAGAATCTGGAGGAATGTTCTCAGCATCCAGCTTGTCCTCCTTGTCCTCCCAGGACAGATCGGCCTCCTCCGGCGCAGGGAGAGAAGCAGTGATGGGTTCTGGTTCTGGTGGAGGGTTGGGGGTGGGTTCAGGTTCTGGTGGGGACACTACCTGTTCCTGAATCAAAGATGGAAAGAGTATTAATCTAATGGTAGCTTTGGTAATAGAAAAAAAAACATTAACATTTATAACAGACCAGGTAAATGTTGAGGACAAGGCTGCTTGCTGCTTTTTCAAATGAATAAAAAATTAAAAGATATAAACTGTGCTTTAGAGGCTCATGGAGTTATGCCTAAAGAGCAATAAACCGGTTGAATTTTGCCCCCTTCAGCTTGCCATTGCTAAAAATCTGTACTTACACCAAACTAAGGTTTCTTGAAGTCCAAAGTTTGGGGGAAAAAAAGGGATTTTTACACTGCAGGGAAAATAGGTTGTTCAATTCTACACATTCAGATTTACCTGAAAAAAACAACCTAGAACTCCAAACTACACTAAAATGACAGTAATTAAAGACATCACACTCTTGGAATACTGTGGATTTCCTAACATAAACAGGACAAATATAACAATGACTTTGAGTAAGAGTTCTTGGAATCAAATGAATAAGCGTTTCATAGAACAGTGAGCAGTGGAAAAGAATGAATAAACACATTCCTACACACACCTCTTTAAAGGCATCCAGGAGGTCGCCCACTGCCTCCTTTTTGTTCAAATCCTTCATTTTCCTCTTTTTCTTTGGCATAGGCAGAGCAGCTAGAAGAAAAAACAAATGCCACAAGGCACAGATCAGTGTGAATAGTTTGGCAAATGATTTTTTTAAATTATTATTTGTGGAAAGAAGCAAACTACTCGGTTGTGACATAATATAATTATAAGCATACTGTGGCAGGCACTGCAAGGGATGCCTCTCACCCTACAGAACTGTGGGCTGGGGTTTACGGTGCCTATGTTTTGGCGCTTTCTTCGCCCTGCTACATTGGTGACCCCGAATTGAACATGTTCGAAGCTGCAGAGGATCGTGTCTCCTCTTAAGGCATGTCAGCGGAACATTCACAGCCGGTCACTTTTGCTGCGGCCGTGAAGCTTCCTGAATTTTGGCAGAACGACCCGGCTTCGTGGTTCCAACACGTAGAAGCACTGTTTCACCTGCGTGGAATTACCGCGGACGAACCGAGGTACTACATGGTTGTCGCAACCCTCGACCAACAGTCTATATACCCCCCCCTACACGGGAAATCCGCCGCTCTTAAGCAGCTGTTGCTCCGGCGGTACAGTCTGTCCGCCGCGGAGAGGGTGGACAAGCTCCTTTCCCTGACCGAGTTAGGTGACGGCACAGCTGTGGATCTTATGGACAATATGTTGTCTTTGCTGGGTTCTGACGAAGGTGAGGTGTTGTCAACGAAGGAAATTCTGACAACAGACGTTGAAAAACATTATCTGAGGCTAAATAGTTAGCATGAGTTAACGGCCCTGGTCCCCCGGTCTGGCAGGGCAAGGGAGTGAAGGACACGGCATGAATCAGGCGCCTGTTAGCAACATCGATCAGTAACCCATTAGCGCACAGAAAGTCAGCACCAGTAATGGGGACTGTGATAACAAAATCCTCCCGGGTGCTCATAAATACATGCATTATGACACGACTTACCTTGCATAGTAGTTTCTACAAGGGAGGGGACAACGGTCTGGGGAGGGGCGGTGTCTTCTTTCTCCTCTGCTGTGAGAGGGGAAGGAGTGGGCACGGTTTCTGGGGTGCTTTCAGTTGTTGTAACAGTCTCTGGAGAAGAAAGTGTCTCTTCATCGGCCGTGGTCTGTGGCACTGGGGCATCTTCCTTGACATCTGCCACAACATCAGGAGTCTTTTCTGTTGCTTCGTCTTCTATTGCTTCTGTTTCTGCTTCTGCTTCTTCTTCTTCTATTTGTTCCGTGTTCTGAGTGGGAGCTGCCTGAACTGGTTCCACAGGAATCTCCTCAACAGCAGGTGGAGGAGTTGGCTGGTCAACCAGCTCAGGTGTTGTTTGGACAACAGGTGGAGGGGCTGCCTGGGTGACGGCCACGGAGTCCTTGATAATAGGCTGATGGCTAGGTTCTGGTTCAGCGATGGGACTGTCGTCACGTTCAGTCTCAACCATGGCAGGGGCCTCTGGGTCTTGAGGAGCAGGGAGTGGCAGGCCATTTGGAAGGCGGAGCTCCTCGGGTTGTGCAATGGGGGACTCCAGAGGAGCCTCCAGAGGAGCCTCCAGAGGAGTTTCCAGAGGACTGGGCGGTAAAACAACTGACAACTCCTCGGGGTCTTTTGCACCAACACCATTAGTGGTGGAGATGGGTGCAGAAGGTGTGTCCGAAATGCAAAGCTTTGAATCTACATCCTCCTCTTCTTCCTCAATGTCTTCTTGTTCCTCCTCTTCTTCCTCGATGTCTTATGTCTTCTTGTTCCTCCTCTTCTTTCCTCCTCTTCTTCCTCGATGTCTTCTTGTTCCTCCTCTTCTTCCTCGATGTCTTCTTGTTCCTCCTCTGCAAATTTGGAATCTGTTGACTCCATTGAGGAAGGTACTGGATCAGGCAGAGGTGCGGGATACGCTGGCACTTCAGGTGCTGATGGAGGCGTAGGAGTTGGTTCTCTTGGAAGAGGAGGTGCCTCCATTGCATCCGACATAGGAGCGCTGGGTGCAAGAGTGGAAGCCGTGTTTAAGGGACTACTCTCTGCTTCCAGTGGAAGAGGTGGTGCAGGGAGATTAGTGTTCGTGTCAGAGGACGGTGCCTCTGTGGTGATGTGGTCAGGGGTTTTTGACAAAGGTGGAGGTGTACCTTTACCTCTGACATCTGAAGGATTACATGCAAAGAAAAACTGTCAGTGTAAAAACAAATGTCTGTAGTGCACCTCCAAGAGACTAATAATAATTATAACCTTAGTTGACCCTTTTTGATTGTAGAGAGTAGGAGTACTACTCATTATTTGTGCACTGTACCCTTGCTACCACAGTATTTTTTAGTATCTGATAATACATCAAACATGATACACATTCCAAACAAAACATGTTTTTCTAACACAACCTCCTGCTGGCTCCCTCTTAATCCCCCAGCCTAGGGCCTGTAGGTAAAATTCATGTTCAATAAAAATGCATTTGTTTTTCTCAAACCAGTTTTGACAGATTTTATAACGTTATTAACATGGTACGAGGACATGATGAACAAGATCCTGTGGTATTACATGGTACAGGGAAGAAATGTCAGCCTGTTTTTTTTTTAAGAAGAAAAAGGTCACTTTTCACAGCAACTCAAAATGATAAACTGGTCAAGTGTATGTCCTGGAGATGAAATTTACAAAAAATGAAAAAAAAAGCTCTAAAATGACTCCTACAATGCTGACAAACTTCCCAATGTTTGAATTCAGAACATCTACTGCTGATCAATGTTCTATATCTGGTAAAAATCTGAGGTCAACCAGGAACCATATTAAATCTTTAGTAAAGAGACTGATTATTTGTGACCTTGTGCGACTGAGATTCTGACCATGTGTCACTCACCTGGTCTAACCAGTGCTAATGCAGCAGCAGCTGTGACGCTCTCACCGTTGGCCTGCAACACGACTGCAGTTTCTGATCCAGATATGGCTGTCTGAGACAAACACACACATACACAAACACTTACTGAATACTGCTGTTTGACCTTAATAGTGAGGCTTTATTATTCAATATAAAAAAACAAGGAAAACATGAATGAGGAACATTTTAAAATATGTAAGTCGGAAATGATTTTCTGAGCCATGATAAACCGATATGAAAATAATAAGAAGCACATTTGACTCCAACATTACATAACACAACTTAAACCCCCGACCTTTACTGCAGCTGTACAGCTGGGGGGGGGTGGGGGGGGTTTAGGGATAAAGGCATCGTAACTCACCTGTGGTGGAGTTGGGGTGGAGCCACTGCGCCCCCCTGACATAATCTCCTCTGTTATGTCTCTACCTCCTTGGTTAGGGTCTCTTATTCTTATCTGTGGGAAGAATGAGAACCACTGTCAGAGGAGGAGGAAGCATGACTTCACAAAAGCCAAAAGAGAAAAAAAAAGAAGTGAGGCTACAAGAAAACAGTTGCCTGTTTAGGAAAAGTACCAACTTTAGTCATAGTCCTGCTATTTTGTGTTTCACTTCAGCAGAAAAAGCACTGGAAAAAAAATTCGGCCTGAAAAGTAACTTCCCATGATGCAATGCATTATTTTTCTATCGCTATCCCTTTCCCAGCAGCTGCCTCTCATTCAATGAAAGCTTCACGATTCTGGATATGAGGTACACCAAATCCACACATGCGCCACCAAGCAAATTCCTCTGTCGTGCAACTGAATGTGCCTCAGCCACCAGTAAATCTTTTGCACTGTTTGCGAAAAGCTCGAGTTCCCAACCTTTGAACCAAACTATTAAAAAAAACAAAACTCTTTGGTCATTGAAGTTGATGTGAAAATGCTCAGGCACAGCAACAATCAGTCCTAACAATAGACAGTGTTCCTGTATAAACACGTACAAAGACGGGAGGGTGAGAAAAAGAGAGTGAAAATACGATTACTTGCTCATTAGGTGTGTCCCATTTATTGCACGTGCTTTCAAATCACCACTCCTGCTCTCTCGCTCATACTCTACATATTTAGTTTTGGACGATAGAGCTGCTATGAATGTGACATGCACCAGAAAGCAAACGAAGAAAGAGAGGCAAACATTCACTCTTTAACAAGTCAACAGTCGGCTCTTGAAACTCATTCGCTTTCAAATCTATAATGACAACAGTCCAGAAAACATTTTCCTGTAACTGACCTTAACAAGGCCCACTTTGTTTGCATCAAAATCCCAAGAAGGCCTCTCTCATCGTGACGCTGAAACAACCATTCCTGTAGGCCTGTGGTCGCACACAAAATCCCATAAACTTGGATATCTGCTAGCTGCAGGCGTTCACCTCAGCCCAGCAGAGTGGACTGAACAGCAACAGGCAGGACAGAGCAGAGTCTGACTGTCACTTAGCTAGGCTGCTAGTACCGACGCTCACTGCCTCCCTCTTTCATGTGCAGAACAGAACAGGGAGGTGGAAAAAGGGAAAAAGCGACAGACCTTGTAAAGCTATGGTGCTGGAATGCACACTGCTCCCGCCCACAAAGGATAACAGACAGTCGAAGGGGCGGCAGAGTAAAGGAGGGGCAGAGTGGGAGGGGAAAACAAAGTTATTATCAAATGAGCAGCAGCTATCACCAGGAACTCCCCCTTTTCCTTACACTCGATTTTGTCATCCTGCACACTCAAGTTTCCCCTAATTTTTTCAGACTGACTTTCTCTTAAAGAGGAGGAGGAGGAGGAGAATGGGGCCGAGGAGGAAGAAGGGGGGAGCTGCCACAG